CGGGTATCTGAATTGAGAATCGACAGATACGATTCGAGGTACGATTCGATTCTCGGTTCTAGACCAAGAACTGAAGAATCAAATTTTTCTAATTTTTTTTATATTAAATAAATCAAATTATTTTAATTTTAATTTTTTCTAAACAAATTAACAAATTAGCAATTTCTAAATTCAAATTTTTGGCTCAATAATTTTTTTCATTTCTAATTTTTTAATTTTTTGCCCAATTACCCATTTTATTGTTTCGTTTCTTAGCCCAACAAGATCTAACCCACTAAATAACCCTAAACACCTACACTAAAGTGCATAACGATGTCTCGACTCTCGTACTCATTCTCGCAGCCTTCCTAACATTTCAAAATCTATACAATCGACAATCGACGTTGTGACCTCCGATCGAAGTTGTGACCTCCGCCGACCGAAACTTTGACTGTAGCGATCATTTGAATAAGATAATCCTACTAGTCTCTAATATTCCAAAATCATTGAATGTCTCATTAGTTGTATTTATATAATGTTGTTATAAATGTTAAAAAATTTAATTATAGTACAGAACCGAATGGAACCGAACCGAACCCGAATGGTTCCATAATTATATTTGGACCCGACAGTTCCATTTACTAGATACCCGAAAATTTAAAGAGAACCGAACCGACCCACGCCCACCTCTAAAAGTATCATTGGGGGGCGGGGGATTTTCTTCTACTTTAATTGAACTTACTAAGATATCTACATAATTAATCTTTAAATACTTCTAATAATAATAATAATAATAATAATAATAATAATCTGACACTTAAATTTTAATTAAAGATTAGTATGTTTTCTAATTAGACAGTTGTATTGGATTGGTTGATTACATTTGGATTTTAATTTTTTATGAACTATAAGTAATAATTTTTTGGGCCTTCATGAAAACAGGGCCTTGGACGATCACCTATTACGTCTAGTCAGACCACTACAAGATACTATAATAGACGAATAAATCAATAAATAAAAACAATATTGGCATGTGAACTAGTTGCTTTTGATAGTTGAACTTTCCATTTTCAGAGATTATTTAACAGTTTCGAGTTTTCAATGTTTACAACACAACAAAATTTTGTACAAATTTTCAATTTTTTTGGATCCTATTTATTTTGACAAAACTCCACAAAATCATATGCATTTAGGATGCGTTTGATTGCAAGTATGGAAAGAATATAAATTATATGCAATTCAATTGCCTAAAAGTTATTTGAATGAAAATTAGTAATTAAATGTGTTCGATTGATTTAATTTTTAATCTAGAAAATATTATACTTTTTTAGTTATTATTGGAGATGAGAGAAAGTGGATAAATAACAAAGAGAAAGAGGAGTAAATTACTTGAAAAATAAAAACTACCTCTCTGTAAAGAAATATTTCCCTTATTTTTTAGGAAAATATGGTCACGTGACCAAAAACTGAAAAATATTTTTCACGAAAAAAATTGCCAATCAAAAATCTCAAAAGTAGAAATTCGAGTGAAAAATGACATTTTCTATGAAAAATAAAGACACTCTTAAATCTTTTAGTCCATATTTGTTGAGGAGACAGTCTATTTTAATTATTTTACGCAATATTTTTAAGATATTTATTATATCTAGATTACACAAAAAATTGCATAAACACTCCGTGTATAGGAAACTAAAAATCAATCAATAAATATGCAAAATAATATTGACAGTTTATTTTTCTTTTACAATAGAATTTAGTTAAATCACTCTATCCAAAAAACTTAAGTGCCTATTTGAGCCACATTATTTCAAAAAAAATATATTTTTAAACAGTGATTTGACATCATTTCAATCACATTTTTTAATAAAATAATATTACACGTAGATCAAAAAAAAATCTTATTTTTTAACCACACATTTTTCATCAATGCACTATTCAAGAATGCATTATTAACAAAATAATATGGCTCAAACACCCAAACAAAAAATGGTTATCGCATAATTGATTGGGTTAGAGACTTTGTCTTAAGTATCCATCTTTGTTAGATTCAAACCCTACCTTTCTCTCGCCATTCATTCAATCCCAGGTGAAGGCCGGAGTTTTGTTGGTTTTTTAGTAAATTCTTGGTGTCTCTCTCATAAGCTGATTTTTTTTGGAGGTAATCATCAGAAACAATGTTCTGTTGGGACTTTTTAGTAGAGAATTCAGCTCTTGGAGTATGGCCTCTACATATTGCAATCTGAAAAAATTAGTGCATTTCATTATTATATAACATAAATTCTACCTCTGATGGAGTAATTGGACTGTTTATGCCTGTTCGAACAAACATCGCATCGTCAGTTGTACAAGCAAGGATACAGCCATGTCTTATAATGTTCGAGAAACCAGTTTCCTATTCTATGACTTAAGGAGAGATGCGTGGCCTTGTCCATCCAGGGCTCCAAATTGGGCGCCTTGTTTAGACAGGGCTAACGTTGCCCCGTCCAAGTATCTTTTTCCTTAATATGATAACTCTGGCAGTTCGTACAACATGGTGAGAGATAGCAAAATAGGGTATTCGATTTGCCCAAAAAAATTAATAATAAAATAAAATAAATGTTTCTAAACGTATTCCATTTCTACGGGTTAGATTCCATTCTATGATCATGTGATTACTCTGGTAGAAATCAAATTCCTACATTTTAACTCCGCAACCATTTCGTCCCAACTTAAATTGGGATGTTGAATCTGATCAGAAAGCATAATGAAGAAGAAAATGCTTAATAATGATAATACTTTTGGCATCTCTTCGAAGAGAGTGGCATTGAGAGGAGTTCAAGGTTTTCATAAATTTTAATGCTTCAAGAACGAGAAGTGATCTTGGAATTATCTTATGTTCTTTAACAAATACAGTAATGCTAGTTGTGGATTCTATGAAGTTCTGCTTTTATGATTTGTTGCGGAACCAGTTCTTACCTTGGGAGGCATGGAATGCATTATTTGGGAGGACAATAGGATAAACCTAATAGCCCATAGTAGCCCTACTGCATAATTTGAGCATACAATTTTGATCATGAGAAATGGTGCTGAAATTTTAACAACGTATTGAGGAAATCAATTTGTATTCTTCCCACCTTTTGGGGGAATTCGCTCTCTTCTAATTCTTGTTAATCGACAATTTGAACAAAAAGTTGTTATAATTTGAATGTGACCCGAATTCCTTGTTGAAATAATTGTAGAGTTCTAATTGAAATGCACATGAGGAGGAATTCTAATTGGAATGCTATCGAGAAATTCTATTCAAGTTTAATTGACAAATTCTAGTTAAAGTTCTATTTGAAAGTCTATTGGGAATTAAAATTTGTGTTAGACTTGATGAGATCAAATAAGGAAACTTTTGGCATTTTATTTCATTAACAATTCTACTTTTAAGGATGGATTTTTTTCTATAAATACTAAACTCTTTTTCTAGATTTGTGAAGCTTTAATGCTATAGTTGTATTCTTTAGACAAAAAAAGCTGAAAGATTGCAATATTCATTCATGCAAGTCAATATGCTTGGTTCAATATTTAAAATAATAAACATTGCGATATTCATTCATGCAAAAAGAAGTATGACAATTTCTTTAGACAAAAAAAGCTGAAAGATATAACTTATCAATAAATTACCTAAAAAAAATATTATTCATATTCAAACATAGCCTTTTAATAAGATAATAATTATGAAATTAATTTATGTTGATCAAATTCCAAATCTAAGGATTCCAAGGAATTAATGTCGATACTGGTCTGCAGTTGCCATATTTAACACAAAAAAGGTGTTCTTTCTAGTTTCATTGAACGCACACAAACACATTTGTAGATCAAAAAGGATTTGGGCTTAAAAACATTAAAAATCTCAACAATTGTCTAGTTAAATCTTATTCAGTATAATTAAAATCTTATTCAATATAGGTAAAATCACTCAAGATCTACAAATAAAAATAATAAAAAATAAAAATACGAAGAGTCTTTAAACTAACAAAATCCCGCTACGCTACTCTATATACTAAATTATACATTCATAGTTGATTAAAACTAAAGTCTTCATAGGGCTCGATATGGTCAATTGCCAGTTCTTATGAACCCGATTAAGTATACTGATTAGATTGTTTAAAAGAAAGAAGCTCTATGTGGGATTCCTTTTCTACTTCTTTTACGTTTAAATCTATTGTCTTCTCTACTTGTACTACTCTCTATTATTTCAACTTCATTAGTCTCCATCGAAGGGACATCTCCATTCGAATCCAAGCATAAGGATCTCTTGCCACTACATTTTTTCTCGTACAACTCGATGTTATTTTCATAGCACTTTACCTGCAACACAAGAAAAGTTTACACAAAATCAGATTAAATTTTATAAAGACAAAAAGTTAAATTAATCCTCATTCAGTACCTTGCAGCCTATTGAGCAAAAATCGTACTTATAATCCTTAATTTGACGATAGCAAATTTTACACATAGACCCGTTTTTCGGCTTCTGTTTCACCTGTTGTATATCTGTGTTTAGATACAGAATCTGCTTGCTATTTATTATGAAGGGTTGAATACCAGATATATCGAGTAGTTTTGTTATGTCCAAAAACAAGAGAGCTGGTCTCAAAGAAGCCCTAAAAACCTGCCAAAAGATAATACAAATTTTAAAAGAAAAAAGACAAGAATTGACACTCGACAACAATGCAAGTGTCAATCAAAGTGTCAAATTGTCAAAAATCAGAGTACAAATAGCAAAGTTCAAAAGACAATCATCCTCGACTTAAAAAATAAATCACATACTCGTAGAAATGGATGGCCTCGATGTTCCTCGGATTCTGCACAAAAATCGCATAAAGCTTTTCCCGTGCATTGGTAACAAAAGAAAGTTTCATACTTTTTATGGTTATTTACAGAGCATTGATAATAAAATTTAGTCTTGAGCAATGGCCCTAACCATGGTGGAACCATGAATTTTTCTTTCTCTTCAGCCATGATTTTATTATTCTTGAAAAAACTCGACATTTTCGGTTCTCTAACCATGAAACTCTCTCTCTCTCTCTAACCATAAAACTCTTGTGAATATATATTAATTACGCAAGAATTTATAGATTTCCAAGTGTGGGAAGACAGGCCAAGAAAACGTGTTTTTCTAGGATTAGGAAAAAGAATTTTGAAGTCTGTTAGGATTATGGTCAGAATATAACACTACTTTCCTTTTAGAACTAGGATTCAGTCTTGATCGGAAGTATCTGAAGTTAGAATATAAAAGAAAGATAATTTAATAATGTATAAATTTGGTAAATTGTTTGCTCCAAGAACAATTCAAAATTAAAGTTTTAGAATATTTTAGCCTATCGAAGTATTTTCTTACAAATTTCTGATTTTTTTGGAGTTTTTTAAACGAAACGATCGTGTTTTAGGAGTTGTGTTACGTACGTACCAAATATCAAGGAGCAAAGTTTAGGTTAGTTAGAAGTCTAATGTATCCTTTTCTCTTGGATTCATGACAATAAGAATAATATACTAAGTCCCAATTTGGTGGAGATTAAAATTAGATTTTTAAAGAATTTTGATAAAAGTTGATAAATTGTGTGGTTGAAAAGTTATAAGACCCATGAAATCTGTGATTAAAATTCATTGTTAACTTTGATTTAAATTAAAATCTGAATTTTAATTCATACCAAATAGATGCTAAATTTTTAATACCATAACCAATAAAAAGTTTGTAAAAATGCACTCGATGATATGTTTGGACGTGTATGTTTGGTAAAGTGTTTTGTAAATTATAGGTAGCATGTCCTATAAAATGCGTTGATAAAAGTTGGATCAAAATTGTAAATTTTTAAGAACGTGTGGATCAGCTTATAATTCGAAAAACGCTTAAGCCAAAATTGAATGTGTAGGGAACCTTCCCGACATAGTTTCGTTATTTATCATTTATTGTGGATGTCATATCTCGGGATGCCATCTGAAATGTCTAATTCAGAAAATGACCCTAGGAACGTGTGAGCAAAAATAAAAATAAAAATAAAAATAGCAAAGTGAAATCAATACTAATGTACAAGCAAGATACCTATTCCATTCTTCAATTTTATCATAAGAAGTTTATGAACCTTTAGAATCACAGCAAAATTCAACCAAAAGGCAAGCACACACTTTGTGAATCAAGCTGGCCATACCAAACCCCTTGAATCTTCACATCCTTAGGAGCCTTTGACCCTAAATCAGTATTAGATGGCTGAATGCTCTCAAATACTCCAATTACTTCACCAATCGCAGGCTTGCTTTTGGTAGCACTCAAGGTAATCTTTCTTGTTGAAACATTCTTGATGTTCTCCTTCTCGAGCTCTTCCTCATCTTCCCTGTTCAACATGATGTAATCCTATTATTCAGTTTTAGTGAAAATAAGAACATGAAGTGTAAATTAACTATAAATCCCTAACAAGAGAAAATATCGACTAGTTTTGACTTTGTCGTTTGGAAACTATTCTTACTAAAGAAACATAAAGGATTAAGCTATTTGTACACCTTGGTTGACAAATTAATGACATGGAAGTGTTATAATGGTTGGATTAAACATATAAGATGTAAAAGATGATGTGAGATTGTGCAAGTGTAAATTCGGGGAACCAGGGTAAAAACAAGGATGTACATGTATAAATTACGATAGCATCTAACCTTCCTCCAACAGGCAGTGCAACTGCATTATCATAAACAGTAGATCCACCACGTCCCTTCGGGTCAAGAAACGATGAACCTCGGTATGATGGCACGAGGAACTCCCCACTAAAACTATCTGGGTTGCCGGAAGCCACGAGCTGTCTGATGGTGAAAAGAAAAGAAACGGCACGCGCTCACCCACAGGAGCTGTACTTTAACTGTAGCATAGTCAGTTCCATCCTTCTCAAACTTGATAGTTCCATCCCGTGAAACCTCAAAAGGGTCCTTCAATCTCATCAAGGGTGTAGATTAAACGGGTCATGAGTTTTGTTTTTTGGAATTCGGGTGGGGCATTCTTGTTTACACCCTCGGCCTTGACAGTGAATGATGTTGGCTCTAAGCAAAATTTCTTTGCATTATATTTGCCAATTTTGAAGGTAAAACTGTCAACACCCCCATCAATGGTTGGGCACTGGTTAGCAGTTCAAGTTCCCTTCACTTTTAAATAGGTGTTGCTTTGAATTTCGTCATAAGTTTACTGTTTTGGAACTCCTTCAGTATTTGCTCCCTAAAAAAATAAATTCAAGTTCCATTTGAGAGGAAATGTAAAAGAACACACGTCACGCAATTTTTAGGTCATTAGCCGTAACACTGGAGAGGAATATAGGTGCTTGCACTTCAGTCAATAGATAGAAACATTGCACATTGTCCCCGATTGAATTTCTCAAAAAATAATCTCCTACTCATGATAGATATGAGTTATCTTGTCCATCGTTGATGTGGCAAACCTACAATATTTGACAATTCAACGTTGACGTGGCAACCCTACAGTTTTTTACAATTCCACGTTAAATTTTCAAAAAGTGTAGGCTTGACGGTTGCCGTATTAGTGGTGGACATGATTATCCTACCCACCATCGATAGGATATCATTTCTATTGAATTTCTACGGTCACTTATTACTCTGCAAGATGATATCCCTTTGTGGAACATTTTCTCAGTAACGAAGCTCTTGAGTTTTTGTTGATATTATCTCCTTTCAAATTTGAGCCTTCTCCAAAATTCTAAAACTATTTATTAAAGCTCACTGATCAATGCATTTTGCCAACAAAGTATGATGTAAAGCTCAGACCAATCAGTAATTAAATTATCCGTACCTACAACAACCTTAAACATGCAATAATTGTAAAAACTATATCTTTTTTTGCAATTGAAGTCCTCCATTTTATTTTGATTTTTGCAATAATTGTAAAAACTATTTATTTTTTGCAATAATTGTAAAAATAAGTATGTTTAAGGTTGGCTGCATGAAAGTGGCAGCTGCTTGTAGTGAAGTGGCCATTTTATTTTTGCTTTGTTTTTTGTTATCTTGTTCTGATTACAAGGAGGTAGCAAAATTATTTTTGCGGGTTTGGTGTGAGTAAGATAAGAACAAGGATAAGGGTTAGGTTCATTTGTGTTAGTACTGCTGATTTCATGGATTGTCACGTAGTAATCTTGGAATCTAGGATGAAGATTTCAATTTTGTTTTATCCTAATAATTCTTCAGATTTTGAGTTTCCATTGATTTTTTTATCTTAATAAAAGGCCAAGAATCAACACGATTATACAATTGTGAGTGTGAATAGGCCAGTTGAAAATTAGTTTTGGATTATGTCAAATCATTTTTCAAATTTGATGGCTAATTTAAAAATATGTTTGGAATGGGAATGGCGATAAATCCCTGCCAAACTCAATACCTGGGAAGCCTTGCCCTGAACGAGCCGGGAATTACTGATAAATCAAGTAGAGGCGAGGGTAACAGGGGCCCGCCCCGTTTATTTATTTTTATATAGAATTCAATACTTTAAATAGAAAAACTCCACGAAATTTTATTAATCTAATAGAAGATGCAAGTGCAACTAAAATTATCTAAAGAGTATAATAAACAATAAAAATTTTTGTTTACCAAATATATTTGAATAATTTAATTTTTAAAAATAAATAAATTAATGCATTAAAAATTTAATAATTATATTATTGTCTCACTTGAATGAATTAGGGCAATAAAATAAATTATGAAAAAAAAAATTAAACGGGACAATCGCCCCCGCCTTAAACGCGTAACGGTGCAGAAAAATGCTCCCCCACTCCGCCCCGTTGCCAACCCTAGTTTGGAACTAGACCAAATCGTTTTCCAAATATGAGACCAACTTGACTTTCAAACTCATAAATACAGTTGAAAAAGTGTTTTTGAAAAATATAGAAGATAAATGAAAATTTATATTAAAGTTAGATTTTTTAGTCGTTTGTGATATGCGTTTTTGAAATGTGTGGTTAAAAAGTCGTGGAATCCATAAAAGATGTAATTAATATTGATTGTCTGACTTTGACTTTGACTTTGACTTAAATTAAAATCAGATTTTAATCCATACCAAATATATTATAAATAACAAAACTATATTAGAACTTTGGTGGGTGGCAAAACTGAAAGAGATTGACTTTTAGCTTTTAATTTTTTTATTGATCAAACTAATTAGGGCATCTCTCAAGTGCCTTCGAGCTAGACGACCGAGATTGGTATGACTTGATCACTATGACGGACCAACTTATATATTGGACTGATTTCGAATTAAATTTAGCAACAATATTAGAGCATCTCCGAAAGAGACGCTAAAATATCAAATTGTACCCAAAAAATGTTGCAAAACTTGCACTATTTTGCACCAAAAAGGTGCGAAGTCAATGCTTTCCTTTGTTTTCATTTCCCAAATAAATTGATTGATAGTATTTGTATCATTTGTGTTATATATTTTTTAATACAATAAATTTATTGTTGTTGTTGTCGTGCATTTATAATAAATTTTAATAATGTAAAAAATAATAGTAAATCAATTTGATATTTTCGTTAATTTAATGTAATTATTTATTATTAATTTATGTAGTTGTAAAATAAATAAAATAATAATATTTCAAACAAATAAATTTTTAAGAATAAAAAATAAAGAAAATTATTAAACACTGTTCATTTGATATAAATTTTAACATAATGGTTGAAACTGATTTTTAGTTTGATACAAGATTTTGATGTAAAATGGTGTAAAACTAAATCAAATTTAGATGTAAGATTGGAGATAGCCTTAATTACCCCAAACCCGAGAGGCTCAACCCATTTAGAAATTATATTCTCAAGATCCAAAATTAAGAATTTCACATTTTTCATGAAATTAAGGCCAAAAATTTGTTTTTCGTGATTAAAAGAAAAATTTACGTTCATTCTCACTTAATTTTCAATGGTATTTGAGAAAAACTGGAAGCCCTAATTACCAAAAATAAATTTTCGAGGGTATTTTTTATAAATAGCAAAATAGGCTCTCGTTAAACACATC